ATTACTAAGTTAAATAAAGATGAATTTACATTAGATAAATGTAATAATGAAGAATGTAATTTTAGTCATTCTAAATTTGATGAATATATTAAAGAACTAAAAAAACAAAGGAAAGAAGAGAAATTCCACAGACGAGTAGATAAGTATAGCAAGGCACTGGACCTCGTTGCTTGGGGATTATTATGGTCTATTTTAATTCCTGTGAGTATTTATTATTATATTATAATCTAAAATAATAATATATAAATGGGTAATTCGATCAGTAATGTTGAAACTTCAAGTATTGATAAAATTAATGATATTGATGTAGAACAATTAGATTTAAGTAATATTGATAAATTACAGTTAAAAGCAATTAAACAAATGAGTGAAAGATTAGAAAAACTGGAGCAAGTAAAATGTGACAAATTAATATATAAATTACCAGCATTAAATTTGTGTAGTTATAGTTTGTTCTGAATTAATGACATTAAACGTTATTAACATTACTAATTAAAAAATATGAATAAAATTTACTAATAAAACTTTGTCTTTCATCATTGATGACTTTCATAGTTATGTTTTTCACTTGTAATGAAATAAAATTAACCATATTACGGCTATACATTAAATTAGTTTCATAAAGGTCTTTATTAAGAAAATAATAAATATCAAATAAATTATTTGATGTTAAAGTACGATTACGAACATGATTCAAACAAGTAAATGAGGTAGATGTAGCAAATATATCATATTCAATTAATAATTTTAATGGTTTATGTTTTTGATGTAGTTTATCTAACTCACTTAAGTTAAAAATATATGATATGCCGTTATTGATAATATTTTTCATATTGATATTATCAATTTCAAAATATTGTGAATTCTTTAGTTTGTAAGACTTATACACTGGTTTAAATTTATTAATATAATTTTTAATAATATTATTATTTTTTATTTTTAATAATCTAACATCACCTAAATTATAAGATAATACAAGGTTTTTAATGTCTAATGGTAAATCATAAAATATCATATAATATTAATATATTTATTTATTTAATTAGTAATTTTCAAATGTGAGAAGTTTTTCATAAAGATACGGTTAGGGTCTTTTTGGAGAAGGTTAATATATAAAAAGCTATGCGGTTCATCAGTTGCAGTCTCATATATTTTATAAATTAGTTTCTTGCTTTCTAGTAAATTATCACTTCTAACAATTGCTGATAATTCATCTTGTAATATTTCTATCTCTTTGAAGTTTCTAACTTTATAATAAAACAAATGACTTATATTTACTCTAATAATTGGTGGGACACTTGATGATTTCTGAAGACTGACAAGCGTTGATATTCCACTATGACGTCCCCTACAGAATAAAGAATTTAACAATTTGTTATTTCTTGTTATTGCTGGGTTATCAGATACATCATCCAAAATTATCAAAATATTAAATAACTTCTTCATTCCTTGTTTTTTCTGATATTCAATTATTTTATTTTGAGTTTCTATAACTCTTTCTAAATCTTCAACATTGAACTCACCCCACCAACACGGTTCTTTATCAGTATCTACTTTCAAACCTTCTTTAATGTATTTTTTGACAGGCAACCAAATACTATCCAAATTTACAGATGGGGACCAGATAAAAATTCTTTCGTATGCACCTCTATAAATATCAAGTATCATTGATACAAGTAGGGTGCTCTTTCCAGAACCAGACGGGCCTACAATCATAGCTCTCATCGGCAATTTAGGGACGACCTCGTGCTTACTTTGCTTAAAGTCATATTTGATTTCATCAATTGGTTTTACATCAGGCATAATAAAAATAATATTAAAGACATTTAGAAAATATTTTAATATTTATTATTTTATATGAATAGAAGTTATTCAGATTATATTGATATAATAGATGAAATGGAGAATATAGAACAAGTTGTTATAACTAATAATAGATGTAAAACAATATGTTATTTGTTTTAGAATTAATTAAGTTTGTTATACAATATATCAAAAATAAAAATGTGAATATTAATATAAATGGGAAAAAAGAAAAAGAATAAGACTGAACCAGTTGTTTCTTCAACTGATGAAGAAAAAGAAGAAATTGCTAAAGAAACATCAGTTATTGAGTTTGCTTGTCCAATGTGTAAAAAGATGTTAGAAATGAAGAATGAATTAGACATACAAAAGAAAGGAAACTGTAAATGTTCGTGTATTCCAACCAGTTTCAAAATAAGTAAGAATGATAAGAAAATGAATATTGATAAAACTAAAGACAGTATAAACTTAGAAACAGATGTTCATAATATTGCTATCAAATGGGGACGGCATGCATCACCATCCGATAATGGTGATAAGGAATCTCAGGAAACTATACGCGAAATGATGAAAAAATAATAGTTAAAATTATTTCTATTATTATTTATAATGCAAGATGTTATAAATAATATTATTAAATTCATTGATGTAAAAGACTTGAAATTAAATAATTTTATTGAAGAATATAATGAAAATGATATATTAATTAATTTTGTTAATGACTTTAGAAATAGCAAAATTGATTTTAACATGTTTTATAATTCTATTAATTATGCTGATTTATTTGAACAATCAGATTTAAAATTCTATTGTAAAAGAATATATTCATATACTTTAAGATTTATTGCTAATTATGATAATAAAAATGCTATTCAGTTTTATGAAATTACATTGAGAAAAATGAATAATATTTACAAACATAGTAACATTAATGTTGTTAATGTGTTTGAATGTACTAAATGTTTAATAATTTATATTACAGATAATATTGAAAAGTTTCATAAATATTCAAAATTTAGAAAAACTATTATTTGTAATTTAATTGGTAAATTGAATAATAATTTAACGAGTTACACAATAACTAATTTTGAATTGACTTATAATGATATATGATTTTGTAAAATAAAAGTTTAGTTTTAAAAGTTTTATTTTATAATATAATAGATATTTACATGGATGAAGGATTAGAAAAGATTGTTAAAAAACTGAACAAGGTTTTAGAACAGAATAAGAATATTTTAGAAATCTTACAAGAAATGGAAAAGAAGAAACCATTAACAAACAGTTATCAAAGTAAAGAAGTAGATCGAACCAATGGTGAATATAAAAATAAGAAACAAACGTATTTAAACAAACTTAATAACAAAGAAATTAAAGAACCGAAGGCTTCAACTATGACATTTTATCAAATTGACTATGATGAAGATACGGGGGTTTATTCATAGATAATAATCCAACGACAAAACAGCATGTTTTTCTTGAAATTAGGTGGGGTTCCCCCTTTTTTGGGGCGACTGTTCCCCCTTTTTTGGGGCGACTGTTCCCCCTTTTTTGGGGCGACTGTTCCCCCTTTTTTGGGGCGACTGTTCCCCCTTTTTTGGGGCGACTGTTCCCCCTTTTTTGGGGCGACTGTTCCCCCTTTTTTGGGGCGACTGTTCCCCCTTTTTTGGGGCGACTGTTCCCCCTTTTTTGGGGCGACTGTTTTTTTGGGGCGACTGTTCCCCCTTTTTTGGGGCGACTGTTCCCCCTTTTTTGGGGCGACTGTTCCCCCTTTTTTGGGGCGACTGTTCCCCCTTTTTTGGGGCGACTGTTCCCCCTTTTTTGGGGCGACTGTTCCCTTTTTTGGGGCGACTGTTCCCCCTTTTTTGGGGCGACTGTTCCCCCTTTTTTGGGGCGACTGCTGTTTATTTATATGATGTTATTATAATATAAATTAACATTGTAAAATCGTATATGTTATCATTATACTAAACTTATGGTTTGTTTCTTAATTTTTATTAATGCCTTAAAAATGACTTAAAGAAATAGTGTCTGAATATAATAAGAGGAAAATGAACGGTGATAAAATCAATAATTATATCAATAAAAAATGCTATGATTGATGTCACTTCAAAAAAGAAAATATGGAATTGTATAAATTGAATTTACCTAATGAAACAGTGAATAATATTATTAATTATTCAATGGATGAAAAAGACCAATGTGAAAATTGTCAGGAATGGAGAGATAATCAATTTTTAATCAAATGTTTGTTGAGAATAAAAGGAAGACATAATAGAAATGTAGAAGATGAGATTTTAATATTTCTAACTGTAAATAAAATACCACCTTATGATTATGTTAAAAGTTTCTTAAAATCAGTAAGAAAAAATATGAAATGATTTATGATATATTATGGATGTTGGGCTATAGTCAAGAGAAAGGAGAAGATGTTAAAGAAAATATCAAATTATTTATTGAAAGTAAAAAGTTTAATATTCAAAATACATTGAGAGATATTAATATTATTTTTAAAATGATGTATGAAAGAAGAAAGATTTGTCAATTAAATTATTATCCTGTACTGAAATTATAATCATACTATAATAATAACATGTAAAATTTTATATGTTATAATTATACTGTACTTATAGTTTGTAAAGATTGAAATATTTTATTTTTCCTTGATTTGGCTGACTCTTTCAAAGTGCGTTGTTTGAACTTGGTATGCTCTTTTGATTTTTTCGTGCTTTGGCTGTTTGTATTTTATTTTGTTTGATACTCTTCTGATATTTTTTGTTGGTATGTTGCTATGTTTTTGTTGATGTGTGTTTTTGAGTTTGTGTTCTTTGATGGTTTTTATTTTTGTTGTTTTGTTGGTATGCTTGTTTGAATTATTTAATGTTTTATGCTTTGATTAAATATTTTGTTGGGGGTTGTTCTGGTTTTTGAGTTGCTTGGTGGTTCTTATCTTGTTTTCTGTGAATTTTGCTGATTTTGTTGTATGCTGTTTGATTATTTGGTTTTGTTCTTTGAAGTGCCATTTTATGTATTTTTCCCCCCCCACACATCTGGCGCCCGACAACGAAAAAAGCTGCACCGACTCCGGAGTCGATCTGGGCCACACCAATGGAGAGGTTTGTAGACGCCCAAAGTTCATTGGGGTCCTTTTTGACGCCTTGTTGGCCCCAGAAGGTCCCTTCGTCGCAACTGCTGAGGAAGTTCATGAGCCGCGACAACGCCAGCGATCTGGAGTTGATCCGCCACATCTCGCATCTCAGATAAATATTGGCGGGGGAGGGGGAGGGCGAATGTGAGGGTCTAAACAATTAGAATGGTACTTTAGTCGAATCCATATTACCCTATGACCCTATGTTTGATGGGAATCAAGTGCGTATAATTATTCAGATTTAGGCCCTTATGTTCGTTTCCTAGAACAGGAGCGATCGCCCGCGGAAATTTTCAGTTTGTGGCATCGGTTTTTGCTTCTCAGCCAAACAAATTGGCAAGGGTAGGAAAAGGGACACTGCGGAAGCAGTTAACCCTCAGGTACAGGGATACCGCCGCAAGCTAGTGTCAGAGGCTTTTACCCGTCTTCCACTTCGCCGTGTTAAACGCCAATTGGGTGTTTCTGAAAACGGAAGACCACAAAGAATGGTTGCTTTCCCCGTGGTTTGCCTTTCAGAATATTTTTCAAGGGGCCCGCCATAGTGAGAAGCCTCCTTTGGGTTGCCTTTGCCTTTGCCGGATTTAGAAACACATCTCGGGCAGGAATCTCAAGAGCACCGCGGGGCGCAAGTTCTACCAGCGCATCGGCTGGGAGGCGGCGAATCCATTCCCACAGATGCTCCCCGAATGACGGGATGGCCGGGATTTCACCTAGGCTCCGTTCCTCTTGCGTGTGAATTTGGTCTTTGGTCCACATGTCCGATTTTCTATGGTCAATGTCATGTTTGATTGAAAGCAGGTAAGCTTGACTATGGCCCATTTCTGCTTTTGGATGATTCGCTTGGGCTTTTGTGGTGGCCTTGTGCTTCTCATACCCTATGTCTCAAAATATCCATTTGGACCCCTGAAACGGCCTGGGGTCCGCCCCGTTTTGAGAGAGAGAGAGAGAGTCTCGCAATGTCGATATGGCTTGAGGGAAACTGGTGCCATCTGGAGATTCAAGTTCGGCACCTTGGTAGACGGCATTTTTTCTTTTGCGGGGATAGCCACCCATCATTTTTGCAGAAGGTGCCCCAGGGTTCATGGCCAATTCAAGGGGCAGGGTGGCAGGGTACTTCATAGGTGGTTGTAAACCCCTTAAGAGATTTACAACCATGGCTCTTGTGGATTACAACCATGGCTATTACCCACTTACCTCACGCTTTTACCCGGTTCACGTACCCTTAGAGTAGGTTCTCAGATCTCGTCCGGGATTCGGGGTTCGGACCTGGGAGTCTTCCTTTTGGCGTACCCCAAGCCGTCGGGGTACCGACGTACCGACGGCCGGGTCCGCGAGGCGAGGATTTGTTTCCTGTCAGGGCCACAGCAGCCGCAAGCGCGCCATGACCCTCGAGGATCTAAAGGCGATTTGCCATGATGAGGCGCCTCGGAACGCGGGGAGTTCGGCGGTTTCTTCCCATTGCTTCTTGGTTTTGTGTTTTGTTTGTTGTTTGTTTGCTTGCTTGTGGGTTTGTTTCCGTGTTTGTTTATTTGTTTGGGTAGTTGGTTTGGTTTGACTTGGCTGGGTTTGAGTTGGCTTGGTTTGGTTTGGTTTGGTTGTTTGTTTCTTTGTTTCTTTTTTTGTTTGTGTTGTTTTTTGTTTGTTTGTTTGTTTTTGTTTGTTTAATTTTTGTTTGTTTGTTTGTTTGTTTGCTCGTTCATTCTAGCTGGCTGGCCGTCTGTTTGTCCGCTCGACAGGTTTTGGGGTTTTTAGATTTTAAGCGACTGCCGGCCGCCACAACCAGTCCGCCCGCTGGCAGAGCCTGTGACAGACAGCTGCGACAGAGCGGCCTGTGGCAGACAGATGTGACAGACAGCTGTGAGAGAGCTTGTGACAGAGCTTGGCCTGTGACAGACAGCCGTGGCAGAGTCAGCCTCCCGCCAGTGGCCGGGCCAGGACAGCCGCGACTTGAGGCCCCGCGCGCAGCCAAGCAAATGTCTACTACGTTTGACTCGAAATTTGTTTCTTTGCTTGCTTGCTTGCTTACTTGTTCGCTTATGTGCTTTGTTTGTTTTTGTTCGTTTTCGGTCGGGTAGTTGGTTTGCTTGATTTGTTTGTTTGTTGTTGTTGGTAGCGGCGGCGTAACTGCCCCGTGATGCTTCGTGCGGTTTTGAGCTCATCAGTATCACCATCATCATCATCATCATCAGCAAGACGATGCTGTCGTGGTCTACTGCGTTATCATCACCATGCGTGCGCAGGGAGGGATATGCGCGTGTCGGGGACGGGGGTGGGTGGGTGGGTGGGTGAGGTGGGCGGGGAGGGCAACGTGGTCCATTGCTTCGTCACGATGACGGGGTATCGTTGTGACGATGTGCTTTCCGCCGCGACTCACTTGCGTTTCACTACTGCATTGACTCACCTGCAATTCGTATGTGCGTTGACCCGCTTGCGCTTGATTTGTGCATTGACACTCTCTCTCGCGGTTGGCTTTTTGCTCGCACGTGCTTGACCAGTCGCGTTTGAATTCTGCACGGCAATGCGTCGGCAAAGCTGTTCAAGAGATCAACTGAACGCCAAGTGATGCTTGGGTGCGGACTGAAAAAACACCACTGGCAGATATGCCGCCGTGACCTTCTTCTTTTTCTTGTCGTTGTTGTGGCTGTTGGTTGTGGATTGTGGGTTGTGGGTTGTTGTTGTTTGTTGGTTGTTGTTGCGGGTTGTGGGTTGTGGGTTGTGGGTTGTGGGTTGTGGGTTGTGGGTTGTGGGTTGTGGGTTGTGGGTTGTGGGTTGTTTGTTGTTTGTTGTTTGTTGGTTGTTGTTTGTTAGTTGTTGGTTGTTGGTTGTTGGTTGTTGGTTGTTGGCTGTTGGTTGTTGGTTGTTGGTTGTTGGTTGTTGGTTGTTGGTTGTTGGTTGTTGGCTGTTGGTTGTTGGTTGTTGGTTGTTTGTTGTTGGTTGTTGTTGTTCTTGTTCTTGTTCTTAAGGCAAACCAGTCGCGCGGTCCTTGTAGCGCAGAAGGTCGATAGCAAACAAGTAGCATGCGCACAACGCCTTATGCGCACATTCCTTCATGCAAGTGTAGGCGTGGAAAGACTGTCGTGTAATTTATCTTGTGCAATTTTCTGCGGTACAATTTGCCTCATCTCTTGTGCAGTGAGCCTTGTGCAGTGTTTCTGTGCACAGGCATCCATCCATTCATGCATCGATGCATCCATCCATCCAGCCCATCCCACCCCACCCCACCCCACCCCACCGCACCGCACCGCACCCCACCCCACCCCACCCCCCCACCCCACCCCACCCCCCCACCCCACCCCACCCCACCCCACCCCACCCCAGCCCATCCCATCCCATCCCATCCCATCCCATCCCATCCCACCCCACCCCACCCCACCCCACCCCACCCCACCCCACCCCAGCCCATCCCATCCCATCCCATCCCATCCCATCCCACCCCACCCCACCCCACCCCACCCCACCCCACCCCACCCCATCCCATCCCATCCCATCCCATCCCATCCCATCCCATCCCATCCTTCCCAATTGGCGCATTTGCCTTTCCGCAGACTATTTGGACCTCCTTCTCGGAGATGGTGAAGCAGGGCCGGCTGCCGGTCTTTCAGCCTGTGGAAGGGCGAGGGGAGCAGATGTACCAGCTTGCTCACCTCTCCTTCCAGGAGAGAGACAGGCACACACACACACCCACACACCATGGCCAGCATTCTCAGTATCACCGCAATTGATGGCGGTGACAGTTGCTGCACGGTCTCCAACATTGCTTGTCTTGGTGTGACCTTGACCACTTAGAACTTTGGGAACCACGTTGCTTTTCCACTAAACCCTGCAAACGCTGAAACGTTTTGCTCAGGGGGGAAGAGCAACCCAGACAAGTCGGCATGTCTTCTTTTTTCTGTTTTCCCTCTTTTTCTGAGCCGAATTTTATCTGGGGAAGAACGCCAATGGTGGGTTTCCCGATGGGACAAGTGTCAATGTGGTCAAGAAGGCTGAGGGTTTTGAACCCTGGAGACAACTCATTCGTCGTCACCAAGAAGGGCTCAACACCCTTCTTGGTTTGAAGGGAAGCAGAAAGGAACACTGGAATGCGTCTTGGGGCTCCCTATTTTGACGCCCGTATGGGGATTTTTCAGACATTCGACCCAAACGCCTTTTGGTTGGTCTAAGAAATGGGGTACCCGAAAGGAAACCAAACATTGAAACGCAGGCCCATGTTATCACCATATAGTCAGTCCAAGGGACATGCGACATGGCACAAGGTGAGGCCTTTTGCAACGTTGAAAAGGGGATGCCCAAACTTGCCGGTTCTCAGCAGGGAATCAACAAGGGATTTGGGAATGAACCAACGGATCCCTCTTGAAGGACACCACAAGGGATGGTTCATCGGGGTCATTCCTTCATCCACTCAGAACAGGGAAAAGATGGGAGAAGGACCCCGAACAGTCTTAACAAACCGAAGTCCGGAAGTGTTCGCTTGATTTCTTGGCCAGCCAGTCTTAAACGCTGATCAACCCGTCACGGTATGTATGGAACAACCAGCATTCTACTGGCACTTAGGCTTATTTTTTCTGCTTTGGACAATTTGCGCAAACTTTTGATGATAGTAATATGATGTTTCTTCGGAATCTAACCATGCAGAAACAGGATCAATATGGAGAGTGTTTTCATTGGGCTCTCAAGGAGGTTGAGTTGTTCTCAGTTTTTCCAGGCTCAAGAGACCTCGAGTTGCCAGGCCTGAACGAGAGAGACCAGTCAATCTTCAGATCACAGCCCAAGTTGGAAAATTGCTTCCGATGGAAACAGTTGTTTCTTACCAAGGGAATATTCTTTCAATTGACACAGTAGTCATAGGGACTCCACTTCCTTGTATTTGTCCTTTAAGCATCACTGTAAATCAGATTTCAAACTGCGAACATCTCAACCAATGCACAATTTAAAGCCGGGGATTCAACTTCAACCACGAAACATGCCTCCTGGGTGGTTCTGCAACAAGGTCTTATGGTTGCAAGGCCTACTTAAAGTGGCGATTGGGTACTTCGTGAGTTGGTAATGTAACCATGGCTTGTGGAAACTCTTACCATGGTTATTACCCACTTACCTGACTTACCGAATCGATCGCCCCTTTAAGTAAATAGCCTTTATAGCAATTTGGACCGGAAGCCGTTCGGATTTTGGGGTACCGCTCATTTGGTTTTGAACAGTTACACCTTGTCTTCGGCGTTCCATGCCTATCAAATTTCTGTCGAGCTTACTGACTCCATCGTGCCGTATGCTTTAGGTCGCCATGTTTCTGTGACAAGCTTGGAACCCCCTTTGAAGGGATAAAGTCGTCGTTGGGATAGGGAAACAGGCCGCCGCTTTGGTCCAGAAAGGAACAGGCCCATTTCTCAGAACCATGGTAGATACCTGAATGCAAGTAAGGGAACCAGGAATCCCGCTTGACCCGTTTACCATTGCTTTGTTGAGTATGGATGGTTTACTTCCACAAGTAGGCTTATCATGTTCATTTTTCAGGAGATGTTAGCAGCGGAGTACATGTCCTCAGTGTTCCGCTACTCCACCAAGACGTGCCAGATGAGGCGGGCAAGCTCGGTCCTTTTTGGGTCTTGGGTAGAGCGTTTGCTTTTCTGTTTTCTTTTTTGGGGTGCCATGGCAAACAGAACCCCTCAAAAAAAAATCCCGTATATTTTGTTAATGTTGAAACGCATGTGGAAACATGAACTGTGTTTGGAAAGCTTGACCATAATGGCATGTGCCATTTTGGCTCAAGCATCTTCTGGGTTCTTTGAACCCAATCTGTGTGAAACACTTTGTGCTTAGACACTTTTGAACCTAACCCCGATCAAGCAATGGCTTCCTCGGCAACCTCGGCCACTTCCTTTGAGCTGATTGAGACCGCAGAGGAGGTTGAAATGGCAAGCCAGGAGGCCCAGGAAATTCGCACACGCGAGGCGGCAGTGGCGGCCGGCTTGGTTTTGGACGAGCCCGCGGCCCCCCCGTCGGCTTCGGCTACCGATGTGATGAAGGACCTCTCCAGTGCACTGGAGCGTCTCCGTGTGGCTTTTGCCACACCGACTTCCGGCTTGGGTGCCACTGGCCCCGCCGAGGAGGATGACAAGGACATGGAAGACGCGGACGTCAAGGAGCGGGCACAGACGCCACCCACGAAAAGGCTGAAGGGTTTCGTGGCGGCCTCCCAGAAGACCACGGCTCAGGTTAGCAAACCGGTCTCCTTGGTGCCGGTTGAGGGTCGACCTGGTTATTTCAAGCTGGACTTCCCAGACCTCCCCGCTGGTACCCGGGCACAGGCCGACCGCAACTTGGTGGACGGCACGGTCCTGGGGAGAGCCCCTCCGAAAACGGACACGGCAGAGGAGATCACCATGGCAGACGTGGTCCCGCTTAACAGGCGGGTGGACATCCGGCAGGAGATCCTGTCCCATGGAGGCGGACGACGAGGCGCTGAAGGTCCGGGAATGCCAGGAGATCAAGGTCAAAGTGCAGCGGTCCCTGAAGGAGGCGGAGGCGCAGAGCTTCCAGCTCTACCACCCCCAGGTGGACCAGGCGATCCGGAAGAAGGAGGAGCTGCACAAGGCCCTGCGGGAGCATAGGGAACCGACTCCGGAGGAGGCCTCGGCCAGGCGGCGGCACAAGGAGTTGGTCACGGAGGAGATGCTGGACAATGAGATGGCTATCCTGGCGCCTCTCCAGGAGGGCATGCAGGCCCTACCGGCGGAGGAGGTGGCCAATGAGGGAGCCCGTGCCCTCAGGAAGGTCAACCTGGAACGGTTCAAGGCCAAGCTGAGAGACCAGTACTTGGAGGGGAAGGGCGTTGACGCCAGCCAGGCATTGGCTGAGGCGATGGGCTCCATTCAGGAGGCTCAGGCGGCGCAAGCGCACCCAGGACACCAACCAGGCATGGATGCTCAACCACACTCTCAAGCCTTCGGAAGTGTCGGCGTGGCCGGATGATCTCAGGCAGGCCCTGGAGAGGGGGCTGTTTTGCCCCCTGGAGCTGGATGACCCCAAGGACATCCCCCAGGTGGGGGACATCAAGGAGAAGTATGTCCCCTACATCAGGAGGCTCAGAGAGTCGCAGAACCCATGGAACCAGGAGGCGCTGCTGGAGAAGATGCCCGATCTGGTGGCACCGGCCCCCCCCAAAAAATGCCACTGGCCCCGGGGGGGACCAGCCAATGTCACAGCAGGACCTGGACTCGGAGGAGGGCAAGCTGTCCTTGATCCTCTGGGCGATGAAGAGGCACCAGGGTGAGCTTCGGATGTTTGGGGGGATTTGGAAGAAGCATGCAAGCGGTGAGATCCCCCGGGGCGCTGACCAGCAGTTTAAGCTCACGCCGGAGGAGCTCCTGGCCCTTGCGCAGGACTCACCCACTCACGTGCGAGAAGGACCACATCGACCCAGTCATCTACACGGCCTTGGAGATCCGAGCGCAGGTGAACCGGGGCGAGCGCCCGGCGCCGGAGCAGGTGGTGGGGATCTTCTGGGCGAAAGGTGATGGTGTGTTTTGGACCAGACAGACGAGAACGTGGGACCTGCCGAGCCTGACGGGAGTGTACGCCCACAGGTTCACTTTCAAGTACATCTACTCGGCCTGGACCACCTTCCCGTTGATCGTGAAGACGCAACACCGGGGCCGCAATGCGGAGGGCTCGACCTCGGACAAGTGGATGGGCAACATCCTCCAGATGAGGAAGGAGGCGGTGCCCTTCCTGGAGAGCCTGGGCATCCCCAAGCCGCGCAGCAAGGAGGAATGGAGCTACATCTTCAAGGAGATGGGGACATTTTTGGCGGCCAAGAACTTCATCGTCAACTGCCCGTTGCCCGTGATGGAGATCCCAGGTGTGCGACGAGCGGATCACCCTCCCGCTGGCATCGCTGAAGGCCTTCGACTCGGTCTACACCAAGTTGGTGGCGGGCCTGAGCAAGTCTTCAATGGTGGAGGTGAAGGTCAACTGGCGCTGCAACGTGGTCCACGACAGCAGGTCCCGCAGGAGGCGGCGGGGGCCTTGTACGACAGGTTGGGCTACTCCCAGGACCTCATCAGCTGGGTTGCTCCCTTTTTCTTGGGTGCCTCTGGCCCCGGGGGAGGAGCGGCCAAGGAGGCGGACCCCAAGGCCAAGGTCTTGGGGGGAGCGGACACCACGCTCCGCACACCAGACCAGGGCACCAGGCGATACCCGCCCATCACCACGGCCACGGTCACGGCGGTCGCGGGCCGGAAGTACATCAACAAGCACTTCCCCAAGGAGACAAAGCACGTGTTTTGGGCCTCCGTGGAGTGTGGCTTGGTCTTGCCCAGCATCAGTGCCTGGGAAGTGGTGAGCAAGGAGAAGTTCAAGACCACCGGGGGCTATATGTGCAGATTTTGCAAGGGCTTCTGGAAGGCGAGCCGCGGGGGACCAGGCTGCTCCAGATCACGGGGTGGCACAAAGACAAGGCCACATGCTTGCAGCTGGTGATGGACGAGCCCCCAGAGCAGCTGTACAATCAGTGGATCCGTGACCGGATGGAGTTCTACAAGAGGGTGGAGCGAGCACCCCCCGCATGCGCTTCAGCTCCTCGAACGGCCTGGGGGATGTCTCCACTGCTTTGTGGTCGGTCATCCTGAGCAATCCGGAGAAGTCGGGGCTGGCGGCAATCCACTCGGTGGCAAAGGAGGCGATCCTGAAGGGAGAGAGCCGCTAGGTTTTGTCTCACAGCCCTTTCGGATGGGGGAGTCGTGTGATCCCTTCCCGCCGGGACTTGGGTGCCTTTGGCCCCGTCTCCGGTGGGGGGAGGGGTAAAGGGTTTTCCTTTTGGGTTCATCTTTCACCATTGTTTCCCCCCCCTGTTCAACACGTCACGACAACCTGTTCGCCTCGACCAGAAGGTCACACGCATTGGCTGCCCCAAGGACGGGCCATACCAGCCACGGTTCGGAAAAGGTGGCTGCGGCTGACTCTTGGTTTCCTTGAGGCCCCCTTGGGCCATCCCCCGCTTGGTTGGTCTTCCCCCCTCCGTGCTTTTAGGGATTTCTGGGGGTTGACCTTGGTCCTGTCGGGATGCGTGTGGCCTGCGTGCTCCATCTGCACTCGGCATTCTGCGCGTTTGGAGCATGCATGCATTCTGCCGCGGTTGGGTCCCGGCCGTTCAATAGGAGGCTCGAACCCCCCCCTTTTTCATCATGGCTTGGGTTTCTACCAAGTTTCTTTTGCGCCCGCCTTACACACGTCTTTGGGACCGCATTCCAAGGGTCCTATGGGACACATTGGCGGATGAGTCCTTCTCCCCGAGATGATGTGCCTGCGCCATGGCACGGAGGAGGAGGGGAGGAAGCTGGGTGGGGAGCCGGCAATCCGCTTCGCCCAGCTCCTGGAACTCTCGGGCATTCCGGTAGGACAAGACGACCAAGTGGTCCAAGGCTTCCCCAGCCTCTGTCCGCGGCGGACCTGGCCGACCTGTGGGATAGCCTATGGTTCCTCCTCATGGCGACGGCGGACGGCAAGCCGAGCGAGAACTTTTCCCCGCTGGAGAATGAATGGGACCGCCAGGACCAATTGAGGTGGTTCTCACGAGATGACCCACCCCCACTCCAGCAACCGGAGCTTCTGAAGTGGCAGGAACGACATGTCCGCTCTCTCCTTAACCAGCTCGCCGAAGAGGAGGTCACACCGTGCAAGCTACGGCAGGTGTGGAACACCCTCAAATGGTTCTCCAAGACCTTTGGGTTGCTGAAGATAGACGAGCTCCATCGCCTCAAGTCCAAGAAGAGCTCGTTGGAAGAGGCGCTCACGGACACGGTCACCCGGCCACAGCGCAAGGCGGTGGTCCCCAGCAAAGAGGTCATATGGGCTCTGGAGGAGGGGGCCGGCTACGATCGCCTGGGTGCCACCGGCCCCGGTACGCAGGAGGCCCCGGGGAGGAACAGACACGAGGTACTGGACGCTTTCATCCTGGGCTTCGCTCGGTTCCAAGTTTATCCACACCAGCAACACTGTGGAGCTGAAGGCCTGGCAGACCAAGACGGTCTCAGCAGCACGAATCAACCGCAACCCGGTCCGCTTGATTGCTCCGAAGTACAGCTTCACGGGGATCCCCTGGATCCCCTGGTGGACTACCTGGGTGGCCTCGGTCAGGCGACTGGTATCCGAACAGGACATGGACTACTTGCTCCCGACAGTGAGCAAAGACTTTGCAGGGCTGATCCCGACCACACCGGAAAGGGCTCTGAGATGGCTCAAGGATGCTATTCTCCGTCGGGGAGTTACCCCGGGGTTGGTGAAGCCGCTGACATGGCACTCATTCCGAGTGTTCATCCCGGACTGCGCTTTCCAGATGGGGATCCCCCGGGAGCGCCGCATGTACTTAGGCAACTGGCTCACGGAAAGCACAGCAGACGTCTACGTGCGGGAGAAGCGCAACGTTGTGGTGGAGATTTGGGGCCAGGTAGCGCAGAAGGTCCCCAACCTGAACCTCGGGCCAGGCAGGGAACGCAGGGAGGACTTGAACCACCCGGACTGGGCGGACCCGCTCCCGCCACCAGCAGTGGACATCACGGACGCAGGACCGGACGGCCGCAAGGGAAGGGGAGGCGTCCCCCACGGTACCCTCAGGGAGCGCGCCATCGACTCGCTCATGGTCATTGGTGGAACAGGGACCCGAGGACACACCAGTAAAGGCCAAGGACCTGTTTCCCGCCACCCCGGACCTCCCCCTTCGTGTGGTGGCGGCGGTCAAACGCACAGGCAACGCCGGCCAGTCCAGAATCCACCTGCTGAATGATGAAGGCACGGCTGTGGGGTGTGGGTGGCGACCGGCGGCTTCCAAGATCCAGGAGCTCTCGGTGCTGGATTACATGACGGAGCAGGAGGCCTATGGCAAGTGCGAACGCTGCTTCAAGAGGTATGGCTTCCCGGCGGACTGGGTACTGGAGCCTGCGGAGGTCCCCACACTGCAGGAGGACGGACTCCTTGGCGGACTCGGGCTCGGAAACAGATGACTCTGTGGACACCCAGTCGGAGACCGAGGTGGTGGCCCTACCTTTGGCAGGATAGGTGCCTCCGCCCTGGCGACCGGGGGGAGGGGAGGCCCAGGACAGGGCCCTGGCCAGGGCCCTCAGCACAGACTGGCATCCTTCGGAAATGGCGGGTGTGCCAGACTGTCCTTCGGAAATGGCGCTATCAGCTGCACACCCATTCTTCAGTTTTTGAGAGTTTGTGGTGGGTGGCCCATGGGGCCCACCCAGCCGTTGACACAGTGCCCCAAGCGAACCCAACGCCGAGGCGACAGAGGGAACCATCTCCCAGCACACCGGGGGACAACAAGCGCCAGTCCCTGAGGCTGAAGGCCGGCCAGCAAGCGTTGGCGGGACTAACCTTGGGATCACTTCCGGTCTCGGCCTCAGACATTCCGGAGGTCCGGACACCAGCACAGCCGGCGGACGGGACGGTCGAGCTTCGGGGTGGAACTCTTTCTCCTGAGCCATGGGCACGCCATTGCATGGAGATCTCGGATCGGCCCACCACCCTGCCGATCACGCACGACCCCAATCTCTCCGACAAGGTGATGTATCTCGAGATGGCCTTCAAACAGCGCCCCCTCAGGGACGGGGGTGGGACTCGCTTGGACGGCTGGCTCCGTGGACCCGGCCACTGTCCAAAGCAGCGATGGGGGCCAAGATCTGTGTCCTCACTTCGCCATGGGGCGACAAGCTCCAGGAGTCGCTATCGTTGGGGGACGGGTCACATCCCTTCCCGGAGGATCTGCTGGAGGATATCAGGGAGATCCTTGCGTTGGGGGCAGGCCGACCAGCTGAAGGCCAACCCTTCTTCCTGGACATCTTGCACAGCGTGGCGCTGAACATTCAGGACCCCGACCACCAGTTCCCTAGGGATCTGGAACAAGGGGTCTTACTGAGGGTCACGGACCCACCCCTAGCCTCGCCGGGCATCTGGCCACTCAAGAAGGAGCTAAAAGGGGAGGAGCCGGAGTTCCAGGAACTCCCTCATCCCACGGGCCGGGAACTACCCCTCAGCGGACTTCGGCAACTGCGGCATGTCCGCTGGCGAAGTCGATGCTTCAGCCACTTTGGGCCTGGAAGATGGCTACCACCACGGTGGGGAAACCCCCCAAGGTGGTCAGGATGCTGGCGTTCATGCTGCGGTTCCTCTTCAACACGCCCTTCGTCCAGTACTCCCCTTACTTGCCGAAGTCCTCTTGGTGGGGTTGCAGCGATGCTAGCGCCTCGGATGAAGGACTGGCATTTGTGGGAGGATGGTGCTCCAATAAAATGGAGCCAGAAAAGAAGGAGGTGTACTGGTTCCACGAGCAGATCCACGTGGAAGAGTACCCGTGGGCATTCAAGAATGGGGATCCCAAGCGGAGGATTGCGGCTTTGGAAATGCTGGGCACGCTCTTCCTCTGTAACATGATCCTCACGCACCAAGGCCCTCTGTCCTCCCGGGTCCGACTCCCGGCGGGCAGTGACAATCAGGGCAACGTCATGGCGATGCTCAACCTTGGATCTAAGAAGCCCTACACCGCGGCGATCCTGATGGAGCTGGTCTTCCTGCTCCACACCCATGGCTGCTCGCTGGCGGCCAACCACGTGCCCCGGGAATTCAACCAGTGGGCGGATGAGCTGACGCACCCAGATTTCTCTGGGTTCGACCCTTTGCACAGGGTCCCCAAACAGGAACTCTGCGAGGAGTTCGTTTTTCTCCCGCGTCTCCTGAATGGAGATGCATTTGATCTTAGCGTGGGCCCACCCATGCTCCCGTGACCGGAGCCGGTGGGTGACTCACTTCCCCTGGTGGCAGACCCCCCTGCGGCCCGGGTGCCCCGGGCCCCGGCTCAGGGGCGGGCGCTATCAGTCTGCGCACCCATTCTTCAGTTTTTGAGAGTTTGTGGTGGGTGGCCCATGGGGCCCACCCAGCCGTTGACATCTGACAGGGGAAGATGAGTCCCTGGCACCAACACATTGCTTGGATAAAAGAGTTATCGCATGCTTGTGTGGTGCCGTTTGGTTAGCTTACATACACACCCTGAAAGAAGGAGGTTAGCCACAAGGAGGCCAACTAGGCCCTTCAGACAAGTGCGGCAACTACAACAAGGAGCCCCAAGGCTAGGAACTATTGCCAGACCATTCCAATTTTTGCTCTTTTGGCTTCTCTTCACACCGCCCACAGCGTGCCTAACCTACAAAAAGGGCACCACTTTGTAAGGTCTAAGTCTGGCCCGGAAAGAACCAAAGGAGAGGTTGGGTGCTTTCATCCCTTGCAGAAAGGGGGAGGTTGGGAGGGAAAAGCGGATGCCGTACCTAATATATATATATATATATATATGTATATATATATACAATATGGCATGTAAGCCGACCATACAAGCAACATCGCGAAACACATGGTAAGATGGTGAGCATTGGAGGGTTCGTATATGGCATTCACCATGGGGCATGAGAAAAGAGGGAGATCTTGAGGAGCCTCTGGTGCTTGCCTTCTTTGTGATCTCTTCCCGAAGGTACGAGTTTGGCGGAACTTTTGGCGAACCTGGGAAAAAGCAAGCCCACCCATGCTGTAGGTCTGTTGCTTGGAGATTCCTTGTTTCAGGATTTGAACATGTTGCAGAATGACGCGACCTCTAGGCCGACTGAGGTTGGGGTTAAAATAGTAAGGGTGGGGGGGATGGAGGTCTGGAGAATGATGACGGAAAGCAACTTGCTAGAGAGTTGATATAGACGAGGAGGGTGGGGGGAAAGCCCCAACTTAGAGCGGAAGCTTTGGGACCTGAAAATTACGTCAGACTGCACCAGACACAGTGTCTTTTGCATGTGTTTTGGCCCCCTTATCCAACAGGTTGCTTGAAGAAATTCGATGGTCAGAGTGGGCTAAATGCCCAAGCTTGGTGTCCTACACATCCCAGTTGTTGCATTGTACTAGTGTCGTCCCCGGATCAACTAGCCTCACTGATTCATTAGCCCGCACAAGTGATCCGCCTTGCTTTGACATGCTGAGACCCCCAATCAAAATCAACCGGGGGTTCGCCCGTTTTGTGGGGCTCTCCGCGCTCGAATTAAATCCCTGCCCGAATGGATTCGATTGGATGCTACACACATGACTTGTTGGTTCTCAGTACCTGAGCTTTGCGAGGCAGTACCTGAACTTTATGGCCTCCTCTAACAAGACGGTGGGCCGTGAGCGGTTGTCCGAGAACTGGTGGCTCCAGACGTGGCTGCACGCTCCTCGGGCGCACATGTGTTTGTGGTTTGTTTTGTTGAGGCTCGGTACCCTGAAGAGGCAATCAAGCAAATTGGTGATTTGGATCGATGGTTTGGATATGAACCCTTGGCTCTTGTAAGCAAATGGGAAACATTTGGACCACCTCCAAACCACTCCATCAAGATGGAAGCTGGCTTTTGCCATTTCGGGCATCCCCATTCTTTGACACATGATGTTTTACGTCTGAGTTCGTGGTCATGGGCAAGACACGGGATCTCGATTTTCCCACAAAACTCAAGCGAGATCTTTCATCTTCTCATTTTCTTTCGGGAAAAGAAGGCTGGGTGAGACGCGACTCACGAGCTCATCTGAAAGGAATCCTCGCTTCTGGTTGCTGAATTCCAAGCCCGGTAAGTCCCTTTGAGACTTCGTTTGAACAATCCGTGGTTAGCAACTGCAGGTTTCCTTGTGGCATATGAACTGTTCGGATTTGGGTGACAGCCTTTTTTAGGCATGGGTGATCGTTTGGTCCAAGGCCAGAGACCAGTAAGTAAGGTAGGCCTTAATTGGTGGCTTGGATTGGTGTTCTACGGATTTGGATCTGAAGCCCTGGTTCTTGTAGAGGGTACACGGGAAACCACTCCTAACCACCAAACCAACAGTTGGAAGGAAGCTGAGCGGGATTGTTTGCAAGCCCCAAGCATGCAATTTTCTACATTTTGGACATTGCCAGACTTAAGTCGTTGCGGGTCAATCATAGGAGTCCGCAAAATGAACTGCCATGGTAAATGGAAAGGATTGCAACCTTCGCTCCAACTCCTGGTGCTGACTAATTTTGACCCAGACCTAAGTCACCTTGCTTGTTGGAGAGATGCAGGGAATGGGACACGGAATGACCCTATTTTGTTGGTGTCCTTTATGGGATCCCTGACCCCTGGGTTCATTCTCAGATTCCCTAGCTACTGAGCACCGGCTACTGCACCTTTTTCAGGTTGGCGAGATGCTGGAGGAGGGCATCTTTCAGGAGTGGGTGAACTGCCTCCGCGACGACGACCGGTGCGTGCTCAAGGCAAAGCGTGCGCGTTTTCTTTTTTTTTGGCCGAGGGCCGTTTTATTTGGGAGTGAAGAGGTCTGTAGTTGCAGGCGACCCGATGAATTGGTGGTTTGGCAGCCCGGTGGTTTGGATTGGAAGCCCTGGTTCTTGTAGGGGGTGCCAACTTGCGCTTGAGGCTCATCTGCAAAGCCGCCACCGAGCGAAAAGAGGTGCGTCAGTCCAGTCGGCGACCCAAAACCCGACTTTTTACTCGGGATCCTGGTCCGCAAAGGCCCCGAAGGTGGGGCAGGTGGACTGTTGCCCGCGCTTTCCCCTTTGGCCCGCTTCCCAAGTGGTCGGGCAGACCGGGCCCGGGGTATCCTGGGTTCTCATTCAGATTGGATGTGGAACCAAGCGAATAGAATCTTGAGGATCAAATACCAACCAACAAGAGAACCAAGGACAAATCCCATGCAACAAACGGGGTGGGGGGTTGAGGGGGGGGTGGTTGGAAATGGGGGGGGGGGTGGTGGTGGTTGAGAACATGGCACGCGCGTGTAGATCTCTTCAAGTGGATTCAATGAATTCCAATTGATGAACGACTTGAATTTACCAAATAAAAGAACAACACATCAGCTTAGTCTGGTCTTTTCGATTCTCCTTGACTAAATTGTTTTTGTTGAGAAGGCTCAGTGTTCCCTATTCGTCTGCTACGAAACGCGAAATAAGAAACAAAGAGGCCGCAAAGCTCAAAAACAGCTTGCTAGTGCGGCTCTTCACTTCAGTGTGATGCGTTGGAGTAGGACATGGCCACTGGAAAAAATGCACAATTCAGATGCCGAGAGCGGTGCTCCTTTGACAAGCAACGAAGTGGTGAACACAGGTCAGGAGTAGCTGTACTCGTATTGTCTTTGCTCAAAAGACACATGGGAATTCCTAGCCCTTACCGGACTCGCACGGGGGGGGGGGGAGGGCCGCATTTTAGAAAGGACGCGTATTTGTGTTTTCGGGAACTCGTGATCCACCGGGTTCCACTTCCATCCGTTGACAGTTTCTCCGGCGAATCCAAGCAGGAAGTTTTTTGTTTTTGCGAAGGTTGGACGAGTGGTACACTTTGAGCACGTCTTCCGCGATGTAGCTAACCTCTTCATCGTGGAAAAGAAGAAGCGCACGCAAGAGGAGCCTTCGCCTTGGACCACGCGAGCTGCCAAAAGTCAAGATACCCAGAAATGGGCTGAACCAGGCAACCAGCCAGACCAGCTGCGGGGATGATAACCATCACGAGTTTGAATCGCTATGAAGGTGCTCTACGTCCATCGCTTTTTGCCCGATTTCTAATTTAGATGACTGCCAACCAACCTGCCCGAAACTGGGTGTGGTGTCCTTGTCTTTTCCGCAGCCGGCAACATGTCTAACTCTGGCCGGGGGTGACCTGTTGCAAGGTTGAACGCTGGATGCATGTGCAGATTTTCGTTCTTTGCGGCTATTCTCGGGTCCAGGGCATTGGGGTTGATTCCCTTTGATCAACCACGCGCCTCTGATGGTGTCGGGTCAGTGAAACCTGAGATGGATGTCTTCCAGCCAGAATTTGTGACTTGTCAAAGCGTTCTCCGTTCCGTTTCCCTTGAAGTTGTGAGCGATGGATCTATGGATGACACTTAATGAGGGCTACTGCACCAATCTGCCTATTTCACGTTGCGAGATTGTCGGGGTGAGACTTTGTCTTGCGGATCCCTTATTTCAGAGGGTGGAATGATTGTAGTTTGTTTTTGAAGTTCAGCCCAGTGAACTTCATAATTTGCCCACATTGGTTGCACGTGTCCTGTCTCTTCGACTTTCTTCTACTGGTAACAGGAATCCTATCCTCAGAGTCCCTTACACGATACATTTGGACCAGTTAAGCATCACCTCAACCAGCTTTAGAGGATGCACATTCTCGTAAACAGGCTGTGTTGGGATATATCTTTTGAGGAACACACTTTAACATTTGGCCTTTCAAGTCACGTCACTCTTGGGGTCTTAGTTTAACCCCTGCCAGAACCTCGCAGCTTGCGTGGGAGAGAACTGCAGCCAACAAAAGGATGCTCACATCCAATTGGACAACATTCAGCCTTCGATGTAGCACTTGATATTTTGTATTGTTGCGATCCTGTCACGATATTAAATAAATAAATAAATACATAAATAAATAAATAAGCATATATATATATTGTATATATGTATGTACATATATTCATTCTATGTATATGCATCTCCCCTCCAAAACCTAGGGACTCACGAGTTTTCAAGCTAAAGCCGAAAAGAAAAGTGAAACTCCAGCAAGTAAGCGTTGTTTTACTCCAGGAAGTGTTGCTTCTTCGCGTTTCCCCAAGGTAAACACGCAAAAAAATGGAAAAGCTTCGCGTCTCAAGTCGTAGAAAGCAAAGCTCCGTCAAGCACACAGCACCTTTGTGGGGCCACGTGACAGAGACAATTCCCCATCAAGGATCGCTCGCTGAACTGCACCCCAGATGTTTTTGCATTTTTCCTTTTGCAGAGCGCTACTTTTGATTTGTTTTAAAGGTTGCAACCCATTAGCAGACCAATCATATCCGTATATGTCACAATATGGTGCGACCCCCCTCCCCCTCCCCCCTCCCCTTCTGTTTTTCCTTCAAACCAACCACAAACAGGGAAATTCGCCCCCCCCCCCCCCCCATCAAAGAAACATAAATGCACCAGCATAGACCCCTGATAGCATGGGAGATTACAAGCAGTAGCTTTGCGGCATTGCCAAACAAGCACCGACAGCAACCACCACACCACCTTCAGCACACCAGGCAGTACCCTGAACTGAACCGGCACCCTGTCTGCACGCCAAACAAGCACCACCAGCGGCCACGGCACCTTGAGCGCATCAAAAAGCACCCTCCGCAAACAGCACCCTGACCAGCATCTTGGCTGGGTCGCTCAGCAAGCACTGCCAGACACTGGAGCACACGCCTTGACAAAAGCTAACAGCACCTTGACCAGCAACCGCCAGTAACCACCACAGCATCTTGAGCGCACCCCCATGAGCACCCCTGACTGCAGGGCAGACAAGCACCGCCAGTCCACGGTGACCTGCGCAGAAACAGCATGCTGACCAGCGCCCGACTGCCGCGCCAAGCGCGCAAATATGACCCTGACCAGCACCACAACCAGAACCACGACTTCATGCCCAAGAAGCAGCGTCAGCCAACACGACAAACAGCACCTAAACCACCCCCGAACACCTGACTTCAGCGCCAAACAAGCCCCGTGACCACCAGCGCAGCACCAAACAGCACTGACTGCAGACCCAAACAAGCACCAGTCACCACCACTGCGCCCTAAGCGCACAAACAGCACCCTGATCAGCACCCTAACCAGCACCCGCAGTGCCCACCTGGCTCGATTTTTGCTGGACAAGCGCCGCTTGTTGAGAAATAAGAAGGCGGAAAAAAGATAAAAGGGAGACGGCCAAACTCCAGAGGTTGACCATAGACTCGTTCCTAGGAGATTGACTTCGTGCGACGCACGATGTGGCTGCGGGTTGCCTGGTATGACGAAGAGCGGCACTTGGTGCAGCTCGAGACCTGTCCTCCCTTCAGCTGGAGGCGATGCGTGACCTGGGGTTTTCTGGCTGACTGGTCATTTACCCACTGAACGTTTGCAAACGGTTTCAAAACGGAGGTGTCCAATCACCAGACAGTTGTGTTTGTTTGTGGCACGGGGATGCTTGCTTGACCCCTTCTTCCAAGGCCTTACTGAGTGCAATGAATCGATCGACACTGCGCACCATGACAATCGATCTGATGGTTTGTAGCCCCACATGCATGGCGCATGGCGCAATGCCCTGTCATCGCCAGCTCTTCCCATAGAACCTCCCAACTGGGATGAACGTGCATATAATCCACAAATTACATACATGCATATGTATTTGCACACATACAACCTCGTTTTCGGACTCACGACCCTTTTCCACCTGTTCAAGTTTTCCTCGTCCCTCGCACTCTCATTCGCAGGCACAACCCCCCCTGGACATGTCGCTGCCGCCATTTGGGTCTGTTTTGTTTTAGGGAAACCCCCGTTGGTGAGACAACTGGGCAACCGCCAGTTTTGGTTTGGGGGGTCCACTGAAGAAAGGCGCTTCCTTTTCGGTTCTTTTTCGGTTGCGCCGTGCGCCGTGGGCCAGCGCAGGCACAAGTTCGCTTGGAAGAATTTGGGTGTCCTCGACAAGCCGCTGACCGCTGCCCACGTGGGCTGGCAGTGCGAGGGCGTGAATGTCTTGGCCACGGAGGAAACCGCCGAGCGGAGGGAAAAATCCGAGTGAAATACTTGGGCACACAAAAAAGCAATTTGTGGCTACCAAGCCATAGATGTCAAGTCTTTCACCAGTCTTTCATTCCCGTTCCACAGGTCTCCCATTTCAACTCGTTAGTCTTTCTCTTGTCTTCACTGGAAGGGCTTTGGGAATGTAGCGGCTTTGAGGATAGCCTTTGTGGGTGTTTGGGACACCCAAAGGAAACACCACCTGGGAGGGTTCCCATTTTCGGGGGGCACGTGTGGGAGCCGCTCCGCAGGCGGCACGTCTGGGAGATGTGGCGTTGATGTCCGCGCTCACCAACATGGGCGTGCACTACTCGGTGCAGACGCCCATGACGTGGCCGGGATGCCCAGAAGGAACTTGTCATGGGATCTCCGATGTGCTTCTCATATTGCAAGGTTGACTAAGTATGGAGACCTTATCATTTTCTTGGTCCCGGGTTTCAGCAAACTGGGAGACACTCAAAACCCAGGCTGGTAGGGGAACAGGTCTGGGTTTGACCCTGACTTGCCAATACCTAATTTCGTACCAGTGCTAAGTTTAGTATTGCCAAGCCTTACTCTCAGATTCCCGGCACCTAATTTCGCATTGCTGAATCAAAGCTTTGTATTTCCAAGCCTTACTCTCAGATGCCCGGTACTTAATTTAGCATCTTACACTCTGTGCTTCATTTAGCATTGCCATTTCGAAGCTTAATATTGCCAAGCCTTGCTCTCAGACTCCCGGTGCCTAATTTAGCATTGCCAATTCGAAGTTCAAGTCGAAGTCTAAGTTTAGCGCTGCCAAGCGTTACTCTCACATTCCCAGGACTTGATGTAGTATAGCCAATTCCAAATGTACTATTGTCAAGCTTTGCTCTCAGATTTCCAGTACTTACTTTAGTATTGCCAATGCTTAGTTGGGTATTGCAAAGCGCCACTCTCAGATTCCCGTTTCGTAATGTTACTCTCAGATTCCCTGTACTTAATTTGGAATTGCCAATTCTAAGTTTAAATTTGTCAAGCCTGACTTTCAGATTCCAGGTAGTTAATTTAGCATTGCCAATGCTATGTTTAGTATTGCCAAGCCTTACTTTCAGATTTTCTGTACTTAATTTAGTATTCCAAAATCTAAGTCTAAGTTAATCATTGCCAAGCCTTACTCTTACATTCCCAATACTTAATTTAGTGTTGCCAATTCTAAGCTTAGCATTGCCAGGCCTTACTCTTAGATTTCCGGAACTTAACAGAGTATTGCGAATTCTTTTTGTAGTGTTGCCGAGCCTTACTCACAGATTCCCGAAGCTCAACTTAGTATTGACAATTGTAAGTTTAGTATTGCCAAGCCTTACTCTCAGATTTCCGGTACTTAATTTAATATTGCCAATTGAAAGTTTAATATTGACAAGCCTTACTCTTCAAGCCAATCCTAAGTTTAGTTTTGCCAAGGCTTACTCTTAGATTTCCAGTACTTAATATAGAACTGCCAATTCTGAGTTTAGTGTTGCCAAGGCGTACTTTCAGATTTCGGCTACGTTTAGTCTGGCATTGCCAAGTACGAGTTTAGTATTGCTAAGCCTTCCTCTTAGGTTTCGGGGACTTAAATGTTGCTCGCCAATTCTATCTCTGCTGTTGCCAAGACATTCTCTCAGATTCTTCGTACTTGCTAAAAGCTAGTATTGCCACGACTTGCTCTCAGATTCCCAGTACTTGATTTGGTATTGCCCATTGCTAATGACCTTGACGTTTGAGGTGGGAAGAGCTTTCCATGAACCACACTTTAGAAGTAAAAGGCTAAGGGATTGAGCTGGACATCCCCCCGAACAACAAATACAATCAAATAAACAAAGATAGTAATAGTAAAGTTACGGGAAAAAAGGAAACACCATATACGATGAAAATAACAATGAAGAAAACACACGCACACAAACAGAAAGAAGTACAGGTAGCAACAAGATGGAGGTTGCACACAAACATAAGCAGTGCAGAATGTTTGATACTAAAGCGAACCACAAAACAGTCAGATTAAAAATAATCAGGGCCATCCTTGTCCAACCCTTGAGCCTAGCGGGGGTTGGGGTGGAAATGTTAAAGCTTCGGCCCACTGCAGCGCAACTATTCAAACTAGACAGATTCGAAACCCCGAAGACCGTTGTTTGACCAAGATTCGTTTCCGAATCCGGCCACGAGGTAGTTTCCGACTCCGTCCGTTTTCCCTTCCGAACAAGCCGCTCCGGACGAATTCTCCTCGGCCTCGAGCCTTGAAGCATGGCCTCGCCACAGGCTTGGGGTAGTTTCCTCGGGGAAAATGGCCGGAGAGACGGGCTGGAACCAAGCTTTGAAACAGCGTGGTGCACATCTTGTTGGCGTTCTTCAGCAAATCCAGGAAGAAAACCGCAAGCCCAGCACTGAGAACACTACTTTCCGCTTTTCAGTCGAGGTTTACGTCATGGAGTTTATCTGACTGTGTTGTGCGCTGAGGAGCCCGCTCCTATGCTGCATCATGTACCCCCTTTGGAACGGGACGCGCTTCCTGGTGGAGCACAAGGCGAGAAGCGGTCGCTGGGTCGCTGGGTCGCCGGTCTGGTTCCTTCGGGCCAACCACTTAGAGGGACCCCTGAGGGTGAAACCTGACAAAGCTTTGCTTTTGACACTCAAAGTCATCAAAGGGACACAGGAACTCCCAGGAACTCTTTGAGAATCCCCAGTCAGATCAAAGAAGTCTTTTTACATCTGCCAATTTGGGCCAAGCCTATGGAGCTCGGGATTTATTCCGAGGTGATTGAGGACCTGATTCTCGGCCTAAGACCTGAGACAATGGACTTTCCCTTGTACCCGTCCCAGCACACCATGCGAACGGCTGCCCTTTTGATTCTTTGCATGGAAGCATTTCGACAGATTTGGATGACTCACCTATAGACACATGGTTCTGGGTAGAATATGTGGGTGTGAAATTCTGTTTGGGCACCCTCCCATTTCAAAATGGCGGTTTTACTTGTGGTTTTCGTTCACCCGCAGTGGGGAGGCGGACATCAACTACTCCCACGATTGGCGCATGTCGAACAACATCCAGCGGCGCCAGCGCTGGACGCACCCGGAGGCCTTTGCGCCCGGCGAGTCGTCGGAAGGGGTTGGGTTTGGTGGCTTTGTTTGTTTGGTTGGTTGCAGTTCCCAGCCTCCAAACCGTGTTTTTGGGTTGGCTTAGTGGTTGGGTTTCCGAATTGAACCCTCTAAAAGCTCAGCTTTTAGTGGATTTGAGCCTAGTTGTGGCGTGGTTTCCGAGCCATTCCCCTTTTCGGGTTACCTCCAAAAGTGTTTTTTTTTTTCAATGGAAACCACCCGGGAAATCCAGTGACTGCTTTTGGAGAGGTTTGTTCGAAACCAACAACAGTCCATGGACTTTCGAGACTAACGTGCCACAATCAAGTCAATCAGCTAGAGGTTCATACCAGAAGTTCATGTGCTTTTTTCTTTTCAAGCCTAACCCCTGGTCTGTGTTCCTTTTTTGTGGGGTGTCTTCTTTCAGTGGGGCAAATGAAAAAAAACACATCACTTCACATTTCGGAGTTTTCGACCGTTTCCCGCTCTCCCATGTTGCTTCCAAGTGCATTTATCTCCATGCCCAGGTTATTTTTTTGTTTTGAACGGAGTTTTTCCCGAAAGCATTGCGAAGGGTTCTTCCGGTATAGTCGTTGCGTTCTGCACAGCTCAACTGCATAGGGAAAGTAGACAGCGAAATGCATAGAGGCATGCGTAGGGCAGGTGCAGAAAAAAGTGCATAGAAGGCATGCGCAGAGTAGACAATGAGTTGCATTGGGGCACGCGTAGGGCAAGTACAGAGTGAAATGCATAGGAGTATGTATAGGGAGAGTGCGCAGCGGAATGCATAGAGGCGTGCGCAGGGAAAGTAGACAGTGAAACGCATAGAGGCATGCGTAGGGCAAGTACAGAGTGAAGCGCACAGATGCATGCGCAGGGACAGTAGATAGTGAAATGCGTAGAGGCATTCGCAGAGTACACTGAGTTGCATGGGGGCATGCGTCGGGCAAGTGCAGAGTGAAATGCGTAGAAGCATGCGTAGGGAGAGTGCGCAGTGAAATGCATAGAGGCATGCGTAGGGCAAGTACAGCGTGAAATGTATAGAGGCAAAAGTGCACAGTGAAATGCATAGAGGCATGAGCAGGGAAAGTAGACAGTGAAATGCATAGAGGCATGCGCAGGGAAAGTAGACAGTGAAATGCATAGAGGCAAGCATAGGGCAGTACAGAGTGCAGTGCACAGATGCATGTGCAGGGAAAATAGACAGTGACATGCCAAGAGGCATGCGCAGTGTAGACAGTGAAATGCTTAGTTGGAAAAATGGACCGATTCAGGTTGAGTGTCATGGAAAGGGCTTTCGAGCCACCCGGCCTCTAGTTTTGTTTGAGGAGGGGCAGACGAAACACGAGCATGTGTTTACCAGGCCATATCCATTTGTTCCGGTTTATAAAGGTACATGGTTTATCCACAACCAGCCCGGCCAGGAGTAAATGGCATCCTTTGCGTGGAGTTCTCTATGTACCACCTAACGTACAGGCCAATGTGTTGTTTTGCCTTGCATGTGTATGGTTTGTGGCGTTTGTTTTGGGCGTCTTTGATTCCAACACCCATAGGACATGCCCTTGGCTCTTGTTCCTACCTTCCCTCCACTCATGGAAGCCGGCTTCATGATTGGACAATTCATGTGGCTGACCAAATAGAAACACATTCTGAATCATTCTCTCATTCCGCAACATGATTGCGGAAACTTGAGCTACAGGACTCCCCCCTTCACGTGAGACATGAGAATCAACCACTGGTATCACAACAAGCCTGTTTAAAGAAGCATCTCAAAGGAAGTTTCCTTCCGTTCAGTGCTGCCCCCCCTTCCCCGCCCCCCCCTTCCCCGCCCCCGGTGGTTATTTCCCAATCCAGTTGATCTCCCGCAACCATTTGGCTCAAGGCCCCTTTTGTGCAATATCATTGTACCATCAATGATCGCGTGAAGCAAAAGAACCTTTGCAGGCCGCTTACAGGATTATCCACAAGACAATCCACCAGGGACAATCCATCCTCCAATCATCCACATTGGCATATTGGACTCTCTCCGGAATAGATCCAGGGACCAACAACGACCTCTACTACCACAGGGTACCAGTTCCCTTCTGGGATAGGAACCTGGGGCAGTGGGCCTCAATTTGTGGTAGCGGAGCGGGTTTTCCGCAGAGATCCAAGGGAAGATGTCATCCGATGGAGAAGGCTTCATGGAAGCCTATTCAAGTATGGCCAAAAATCCAGGCCATACGGAGGAAACACTAAATTTATCGATGACCGCCAAGCAGCCGCCATCGCACGACGGAAAAGTCAGCTGGCTCAGGTATGAAGAACTCGTGGACGACTGGGTGACCATCACAACGGTGGAAGCACCAAAGAGAGGACCTCTCCTAAAGAGAAGACTCACAGGAGATATATGCACAAGGCAGTCCTCCAAAATGACCTTTTGCAAGATCCTGATGAAGGAGTCAACTATTTCAAGAACACGCTGAGGAAGTACTTTTTGAAAGGTGCGACCAACGTGTATCTGTACAGACTCCTCAGTTTCTTCAACCATAGAAGGCAGAACCAAGAGTTCCTCATTTTTACCTCAAAATTCGAAATCCTTCTCATGAGATTGAAGGCAGCATGGATGGACTTGATGCCCGTTTTCACGGCACAGTCCCCATCATTTCGACAGTCCGTACAGGACGCAAATGCAAGAACAATTGCTCGACATCAGCAAGCAGCCGGTGTTCGAGCACCGCCTCCAGCCCTGCTCAATGAGGACGATCCTACAGTCCTCAGACAGTATATCACAGGAATGCAGGACAGACAGCGGGACGCATTTCCCTTCGGGGATAATCTCATTGCACAGTTTTTCATCATACAAAGTGAGCTGTCAGATCAGCAAGAGAAAGACTCACAAGTGCAATGTCATTAAGAACATCTCACTCGAAAATTACTCCTATGAGATGCTGAAGACGCACTACCATGAACTCTTCATCACGACGAGGACATCGATCCAAGATCCATCCATCCGACCTCAAGGAGGCAACCGAAGCAACACATTCTTCATCATCGAACAAGGTGAATACGAAGGAGAAGAAGGCTTCTGGGTTGAGGATGAAGAAGGACTTGAAGGATTCATGTCAAACAACGATGAAGAGACGTTCTGGGTCCTCGAGGAGAACGATGCGTTCATAGCAAGAAAAGTGTCGGGGCGGAACTTCAAGTTCAAGAAGAGAAAAGGAAAAGGAAAATCAGGAAACAAAAAGGGCAGTCACCAACGAGGTGGCTTTAAACCCTTCAGAAAAAGCGGTTCTGGCGGAAAGGCCAATATGGCCAACGAAAACTATGACCCCTACGACCAGGCATATTGGGGAAAAGGCAAAGGAAAGAAGGGAAAGAAAGGAAAATCAAAATTCCAATATCCCTATGATGGAAACAAAGGTTATCCATCCTATGAGAGTGGCAAAGGAAAGAGCGGACAGGAAAAAGGAAAACCCAAGACGTTCGCAGCCACCGCAGGGAAGACGGAGGAGCAGCCCGCCATCCAGCAGACTGCACCATCCATAGAGCTGACCTATGCCGGTTGGACAGACCAAGACTGGGATCAATCATGGACATGGAACGAACATGGCTGGTACTCATCCCATGAGACATCCAGCACAGGACAAGCGTTAATGGCATTCCATGATGCATATGAGCATCCTGGGAAAAAGGCCATCCACGAGAAGCTGATCCAATCGGGTCAGCTACAGTTTCAGAACACAATCTGTCCGTCACAACAAATCACAGCCTTCTGGCAACAAAGCTGATGGCGCCTGTCATCAACCCTCAGCACAACCCGACCTATGCGATTCTGGACAATGGATGTACCAGATCTATGGGCAGCTCGCATGCAATCCAGCGTTTTACTCAGGCCATCGAACCAATGAAGGACATCATCTCCTATGAGTACATCCCGGCCGATTGCAAACGGAGAGACCGCCAGGGTAAACTGGACCCTGCATCTTCGATATCACACAACTCCTCCATGCAGTACAAACATCGACGTCCTTGAACAAGGAACTGTACCGATCCTTCTCAGCATCAGCCAGATGCGGAACCTCTACATGACCATCGAGCACACACCTCAATGTGACAAGATCACATGCAAGGCCTTGGCATGAACCGTCAAGCAGTTCCAGTATCCGGTACAGGACATGCACTCGTCGATCTCGCTGGAGTTGCAAGAGTGAAGGCGCATGGAGAAATTGCTCACAAGGGCCTCATCAACTATGTCTATGACGATGATAACAGCATCAAGTTTCCCTCCGGGGATCTCACCAAGAGCGAAACTGTTTGTGCAGCAAAATCATCCGAGACAAAGGAGGACCTAGCAACTCCTAAGATCATTGGGTCTCAAAAGCAGGACCATTGGATCCTTGACAAGAAGAACAAGCAGCTCATCCGTGTGCACATCACGCCCCGAAAGGCGCTGTTCACACCAAATGGAGCCAAGGAATGTCCAATCAATCCTGATAACATTAGCCGAGAACGTACTACGGAAATCATTGATGCATCCGCCGGTGGAGATCCAGACATTTAGAAGACAATTGGAGACTTACATCCCAGGCAAATAAACCGATGATTAACCTGTGGATAGGTAAGACCATTTTCACCTTCGCGGACAATTCGCTTAAGGACGAAGAAGCAGGTTCAGGATCGGCAGCAGACAGGATCATCGACAAGAGGGGCCGGTCGACTATTGAGCCAGATCCTTTCGCACCATCCTCAGAAGAACCCACATCGCTTCCGCTTGCCCTAGGCAGAATCCACAAGCCATTGTCAAATCCCGAAGAGTTGAAGAAACTCCACCTGCAGCATCATCACACGACAACAGATCAATTTCGATTTAGAACCCGAGCACTTCATTTGCCGAAATCAACATTCGATCTATTTGACAAGATCCGAAGTGAGTGTGAAGTTTGCCAAGCGGCAAAACATGCACCATCACGAAGCAAAACAAGTGGACTTCGAGCGGACACTTTTGGTGACATGACATTCATTGATCACTGTCAAGTTCCTCTTGGAACAGGAGAACACATCATTGTTTTTGTCATCCTGGATGGAGCAACAACATTGCTCACTGCAGAGGCAGTGACAACTACGCAAGAAGCCGAGAACATCACTGTCCTCAGGAACAATTTTGACCAGTACCACATGCAGCCCAAATCAGTTGTCGCAGATCAAGCCTTCATGACAGATACATGGGAACACTTCTATCAGTCCCTTGACATCACACCGATATCATTGGGACCGAATACACCATGGCCAAATCGAGCTGAAGCAGCAGTTCGACTCCTGAAGGCACAACTCAAGATCATGCTAAGTTCCATCAAAGCAGGTACAGCTCCTGCGACACTGAAGAAAGTGACATACAGGCAGCTAGTGAAGGCCGCTGCAACTGTCAGGAATCAAACCGTCACCTAGGTGTAACACCATTGGAGCTCGCATTCGGAAGACGACCAGCAGATCTCATCCAACTCGATGTCGCAACACCAACTCAGTTGACGATTGACAGGAATGAAGAAGAGCTGACAGCCATCCAGATCAAGCAGCTGTCAAAGCAAGCTTTCCAAGAAGCACGTCAATCCGAAGACATCCGACGAGACCTTGCTCAAAATCTCCGAATGAGTTCCAAGCCTCTTCAGGTGAAGGGCAAGGTATTCTACTGGCAGGAAGACAAATCCAAGATCCGTTCCGATGGAAGCAAGGGAGGAATATGGCTAAAAGGAAAGGTCATTTCCATTGAAGGAGCGATGGTAGGACTTGATCTTGGGACTCGACTCATCAAGGTTAACATGACGAAGCTCAGGAAGGATGAGACCATCCCTCCGGGGAAACCCGGAATTGATCTTCTGTTACCAGAAGAGCGAGAATCCTTAGAGAAGGAGCAACCAGGCTCCTCTGCAGATTCCAAGAAAAAGGAATCATCCGCACCAGCTCCTAAGCCAAGATCCTCAGTGCCATTACGTATCGCGGGAAAAACAGCTCCAAAACCTGCAGTACCTCATCCAGCAAAGAACATGTTCGTCGAGGACCTCACATCCATTCCTGAACAAGCGCATTGGAATTGTGTACGTAAGGGAAAGATCCACGTTCTCGAGATCTTTGCAGGAAGTGCCAGATTCAGTCAATGCTGTGCACTATCAGGTCTTAAGGTTGGGGCTCCCGTAGACATCCGCGCAGGATTCGATGTAATGACATCCAAGGGACCACATGGTCATGGAGATCATCAGGGAACAAGCGCCTGATGTCATCCTTATGGCACCGGTCTGTGGACCATGGTCAAATATGCAGAACATCCAACAAGACCAACAAAAGGTTGGGAAAAGCGGAGACGCTACCTTCCCATGGTTGAATTTGTGGCATCCATTGCGCGATATCAGTTGAAGCACAGAAGATACTTCATCATCGAAAATCCTCAGAC